CTGGGGAGGTAAGTTTTGTATAAATTATAGTATTTATTTTATTTTCTCTTTTCACTTTTCTTGTATATAACTTTGTTTCTTTTCTCTTGTTTCTTCTTCTTTTGTTTTCTTCTTCCTTTTATTCTATTCCTACACGTGCATGAGAATGTGGTCACGTACATCAAGTGGTAGACTTTATAGGGTATCCTCATCATTTTCAGAAAATATGGCTGAAGAAGATAATCAATCACTTCATAATGAGAATAATGAGAATAACCGTGCTAGAACACTTAGAGACCACATGAATCCCACAAGAACAAGTGCACCATCATGCATAGTTTTTCCTCCCGATGCATCTCATTTTAATTTTAAACCAGGTATTATTCAACTTTTACCTTCTTTTCATGGCTTAGAATTGGAAAATCCGTACTTGCATTTAAGAGAATTTGAGGAGGTTTGCAACACATATAATAATTTAAATTGTAGCATAAACACCATCAGATTAAAGCTTTTTCCTTTTTCAATAAAAGATAAAGCTAAAACATGGCTATAAAATTTGAGACCAGGATCCATTCGTGCATGGGATGAAATGTAACAACAGTTTTTAAAGAAGTTTTTCCCATCTCATAGAACAAACTCTTTCAAGAGACAAATCACCACTTTCACTCAAAAACCAGGAGAAACATTTTACCAATGTTGGGATAGGTATCGAGACTTGCTTAGTACTTGCCCTCATCATGGTTTTGAAACATGGAGATTGGTTTCACATTTCTATGAAGGGTTAACACCTAAAGATAGGCAAATGGTTGAATTGATGTGCAATGGAACTTTTGAAGATAAAGACCCTGATGAAGCAATGGAGTACTTAGACTTGTTAGCTGAAAATGCTCAAAATTGGGACACCGCGGGGACTTGTGAGGCACCGAGTAAAACTCAACCTCATACATCTAGTGGAGGTATGTACAACCTTAGGGAAGATCATGACCTTCAAGCCAAATTTGCATCTTTAGCTAGAAAAGTTGAGGC